GTCCACAGTCGGGATGTTCTCTTTTTCCCTCGGGGAGGCCTCAGCTCTGTTTTGTAAGGCCTTGCTACTGATTGAGTCAGGCTCGCCAAGATCATCTAGGATAATCGACCTTACTTCAAGTCAACTGACTGTGGGCTTTAATAGCAACACCTAGATTACTGTTGATTGACTCCCTGAGAACCTAGCCTAGAACCTAGTGACCCATCATAGTGACCCGCACACCTTCCTTCTGTAGAGCAGCTGTGGGCTGGTTAACGTGCCCCACGCTGTGATGACCCAGTTCCCCTTGGATCTTTGTCCTCCATCACCTGGAATGGCTCAACCAGCCAGCATGCTTCTTGTCCTCCAGGAAGTTTGTAAGGATCCAAAAGCTTCTGAAAAACGAATCTCCCCAGAGTTACAGCCCCTGAAAAGATCTCCTGCCCCAACACCAGGTTTCCAACAGACATCGCAAAGGGGCGTCGGGCTGCCGGTGTACATGGTGTACTCAGACTGCTGTGGCTGTCCCCCCGCACCGCCCCGCTTCTGCAGGCCCAGTGCCTCCGCCAAGGCATCATTCCCTGCTGTTTGACTCTCGTAACGTTCTGCAATTCCTCTGCTTACCGTCCACGTCTATCAGGCTGGGAAGAGTAGCTTTTCAGCCTTCTCCATTAGGGCATTAGGGGAAAAATCATTTAAGAGTAGGGATTTCTGATGTGGTTTTCTTGGATTCCCTTGGTTCTGTTTTTTTAATTGATGGATTGTTGCTAGGCCTGAGAGAATCTCTGAGAAAGAAAATATATGGCGAAGAAAGAGTGTAGAGTGTCATTATAGGTTCTCTTGTTCAGGCTTTTTGAACAAAACTCATTTCTACCCTGAATCCATTCATTCATTCATTCATTCATTCATTTATATATATATTTTCTCATTTATATATTTTTTAAAAGAATCTCTACACCCAATGTGGAGCTCGAACTCACAACCCAGAGATGAAGGGTCACAAGCTGTACAGGCTGAGCCAGTGCGCACCCTTTCAGTCCTACTCTGAAATTTACCAGATCAGATGAATAATAAAGAGGTCAAATGAGACCAAAGAGTGACTTGGCAATAATTGTATCATTATATATGGTAATAATCCATATTATTACTTCAAAAAGCCAACATACCACATTTTCTATATGCAGCCACTCTGTGCTTATTTAATGCTCACAATAGCCCAGTTTACAGATGACAGAACTGAGGCACAGAACTCACAGATGACCAAACCAAGGTCACAAGCTTATAAGTGCTGGGGACAGAGTCAACCACAGGCCGTTTGGCGCCAGAATCCAGGCTTGTCACATTTGAATCTACAATGCCTCACCTAAGATGATGTGTGTGTGTGTGTGTGTGTGTGTGTGTGTGTGTGTGTGTGTGTGTGAGAGAGAGAGAGAGAGAGAGAGAGAGAGAGAGACACTTAATTGTTTTACATAAGGAAGGGGAGTAGTCGGTTGCCTGTGAGTGAAAACCTGCTGAGATGACTTTAGGGCGGCTCTCCCACGAAAGTGGCTGTGAGGAGTGCTGTACAGAGCATGCCTCCTGGGCAGCCCCCAGTGCTACTGACCAGGCAGCTGTGCAGAGCTATGGAAGCCTGCCTGGGGGTGGCCTGTTCTCTGTGATCCTCAGGTCCTGAGGAGGCGGTGCCTCTGGGGACACCATTTCCTGCTGTGGCCAGGTTTCCCTGCCTTTCAAGATTTTATTCATTTATTTGTCAGAGAGAGGAAGAGAGAGCACAAGCAGGGGGAGTGACAGGGAGAGGGAGAAGCAGACTCCCTGCTGAGCAAGGGGCCCGACTCGGGACTCGATCCCAGGCCCCTGGGATCATGACCCGAGCCGAAGGCAGCCACTTAATCATCTGAGCCTCCCGGGCATCTCTCCTGCCTTTCAAGACCAAGGCCAGTGGCCCGGCCTCGTGGCTGTAGGCATCTCCACGGTGTGTGAACCCCTCGCTGAGGGCTCCTGTTCGCAGAGCCCAGGAGCAGGCCCTCTGTGGGCGGAAACCATCTACCTGCCGTCCCTGTCCCTGCTACCAGATGCCAGGACTCAAGGCTTTAATGCTCTGCTGTATTTCTTCCTCTCTTCCACTTCAGGAAAACTGATTTCTCATCATCCAAAGGAACATGTGATTAATGGCAAGCCTAAAGTGCCTGTGGTTCTTTGATAATTGCTTTTTTTTTTTTTTAAGCATCTTTATAGCCGCCTTCAGAACATAGTGGATCTTGGACAGTTTGGAAGGGATTTCTGGTGAGTCCAGGCAGAAGGGTCATTATATGCAAGTGTCATACCTGTGTCCTTCCATCAGATCCGTGTTTTTCCATCACCCCAGCAGGAATGCTGAGATACTAGAGTAATGCTAAGATCGGTAGAGTGCTCGTCCAATTTTCTACCTGGCGAAATAAAGTAAAATCTCCGCTAACATTCCTTGCAAAAGCAGGAGTGGAGAGCTCTAGAAATGATGTTACATATTCAGTTCTCAGATATTGTATCTGGGAGGCAAAAACGTTTCTCGCGCTATGGGGGGGGGTAACCACTGGGGGGAAGTACCGTGAGCCTATGCCTTGCAATGAGTCACCTGGGGATCTTGCAAAAATGCAGAAGCTGATTCTGGAGGTCCGAGTGGAGCCTGAGATCCTGCATCTCTAAGAAGCTCTCAGGTGACACAGAAACTTCAGCACCTCACGAGGAATTAGAGAAGCCCTCCGCCCACCTGTGGGAGAGGGACACGAGAACCCTGCGGGAGAGAAACTATGACAGTTAATCACTGTCATGTTGACAGGAACGCTGACATATGTCATGAGGGGGGCGTGGTCAGAAGTCAGACAGCAGAATCATTTGCTCATCAAGGGATGACTTTCCTTTGGCCTCCACAAACCCACACCCTCGTTGGGGAAGTTGCCTTGGGATCCTACGTGCAACAATACAAAGTGTAGACTAGCGTGTGGGATGAGACGTCCTGAAGGGGGTCTATAGTAAAGCTGTGGTAGTTGTGGATGGTCTCACACTTCCACAGAATCAGAGAGAGAGGCAGGGAAGAGCAAATCCATGCTGCGAGCCATGCCTGCTGCACCTGCCTGCCCGCTGACATGAAGCGGTCGTGCTGTTTGAACGGCATCCCTCTGGTTCTGTTTAAAGCTTATCTGGGTGGCCCAGGGCTACATTTCCTCTTCTGAGACCAGCCTGAGCTGAGCCCCAAGTGGCAAACTCATCCTGGCTTGTGCCCATTGCTGGTTTCCGTGGCGACTCCACCGGTTGTGCCTACTAAGTGGAAGCTAGCACCTGCGTGGTTGTTCTTTTCTGTAAAGACCCTGACCCGTTATTTTTAAGAGCAGAAATGCCAGATCTGGAGTGAATACCCGCGTCCCACTAGGAAGTGATTGTTTAAATGAACCCAGCCTGTGCTTATCCAAAGGAACCATGTCGCAGTAAATGGCTGGGAGAGGGCTGCTTCATCCTGGTTTCTTAATTAAATGGCAAAACGTCCTTTATAAGCTATAGGTAGCGAGGCCGGCTTTCTCTCCCACTTGCCCTTCGCCGTGATGATCATCTGTGTGTTTGTGGCCAAGTAGCAGTGACAGTTCTGATGACTGTAGTATTCTTTCAGTGCAGTAGAGCTGGTGTGGAGATCGGCACGCGTGGGGCCCTGCTTTGTTAGGGCTGATTCTGTCTGTATGGCCAAGTGTAACGTGTCTGTGTTCCCCTCCAACCTGCTCCCTCCGTACTGCCTTTCGTACAAAACAACAGCAGCCCATTGGCTGTAGTCACTATCCTCGGTCTCTGAAAACAGGTATAAAATGTATTCTCTCCCAAGGGTCTCTCTTCTTTTTTAGAAAGTCATTTTAACTCTACTTCTTCTATTTTTTTTTTTTTTAAGCAAGCTTTTGGGAATACTGCATAGAAGATAACTAGCAAACAAACCGACGTGCCCCGTAGGGGGAAAATGTATCAAACTCAGCGTAGGTTCTAGAGTGGAGGACGTTGATGATAGGAGTTCACATTCTGGGTCTGTACTGGCTGGTGCTCGGGTGCTACAGCTGAAGGTTTTGTGACCGTCTCAAGTCTTATTTTACTCAAGGTCAAATTAAGAGCATAGATTCTTGCCAGCAAGGGGGACCATGGTGTCCCTCCTTCCGGGAGACGTTTATGGAAGGCAGACAGCCGTGCTGTCTTGAAGCTCTGAACATGAATTGGACTTGCCTCTGCCGGAGGAGCTGTCTATCTCATGGGGACAGAGAAGGGGTCGTGCGACAACCCCTTGTCACAGTAGGCTGCAGAATTCCAGCAGAGAGGAGAAGCTTACTATATAGTCCAAAACTGCCTTATGGATTGTTTTGTGTTTTTTGGGGGGAGGGCGGTGTTTTGTCTTGTTCAAATAGATTAACCATGATGCTACTTGGTCTGTCTTGGTCTCACAATGCAGAGAGATTGTCTGGAACTCACAGTTGCAAAGGAGGCCGGGAGTCGGGACTAGAAGGAGGGAGGGCACAGGTGGCGGGAGGGAGCAGATGGACGTTCCGGGAGCTCTGTCCAGAGGTGGGGGGCGTCCCCTAACACAGCATCGTCCCGGGAGGGAATGGCAGCAGGTGGGCACGAGACGGATCCCGCCCTCCAGCAAGCTCGGTAGCACCCCGAGAGCAGAGAAGGTGGGATTGTGCCGTGCGCGCACCACCCCACACACGAAGCAGCGTTTCCTGGTTCCTGGGCTTAGCGACTGTGAATTACAATGTTCTTTTGCCACTGACTCGCTCTGTGACCTTGAGCAACCATCTCTCCCTTCCCAGTTCAGGCCCCAACTCATCCAGCTGTAAAAACAAGGATCTCAACATTGACGTACGGCGTAGAGCTCTCGTGGCGGCCAGCAAATTTACAATTCAGTTTTACAGCGCTTGGTTGTTTGAGAAGGTTCACTGACCCTGGTGCCCCTGTGGCTCTTCCGGGCTACGGGGCAGGGCGCTCACGTCTCTCTTGTCCCTTCTGTGTTCCAGGCATAGAGCTGTGCCCCCCCGGAAAACGGTTCATGATCACGATGGTGGCGAGCTTCGTGGCCATGGCGGGGCAGTTCCTCATGCCCGGGCTGGCCGCCCTGTGCCGGGACTGGCAGGTCCTCCAGGCCCTCATCATCTGTCCCTTCCTGCTCATGCTGCTCTATTGGTCGTGAGTATCCTCCCCGCAGGCTTCACCACCTGCTGCTTCTGCCAACGCTTTCTGAAGGGTGCGTCCCCCGGGGGAGGAGACAAGGGACACATACGACTGGGGGCCCGCAGTCCCCCAGCTTCTGGTTCGTTTCAGCTTGCATTTCTTTTCGGTGAGGGCATTTTCTTTTCTCTTTTATAAAATCTCATCTTTTAAACCTGGTATCCTGGGAAATGTTGAAACACACACAAAAATGGGCAGGAGAGAGTAGAGTGAGGCCCCAAGTGCACTTTCCCCTGCTCCGAGAACCTACCTCCATCAGTCTGGCCAGAGGCCTGCTTGCTGGTGTATTTTGATAGGATTCTTATGGATAGATTTGCAAAAGGAGTATTCTTGTGTTGGGTGGGGGGGGGAACTGCGGAGACATCCAAGGAGTGATTTAGGAAAGCCCCCTTATCTCCTCTAGATTAGGGATGGGCAGAGACCAGAATCCATGGACCAAATCTGGTTGCCATCTGTTTTGGTAAAAAAAAAAAAAATAGTGTCATTGGAGCACAGTCATGCCCATATGATTATACGTGTCAACTCGGGCTGTTTTCATGCCACAATGGCAGAGTTGAGGAGGGTACAACGGTCTCATTGGTCTGCCAAGCTCAATATTTACTCTCTGGTCCATTCCGGGAAGTTGTCCGCCCCTGCTCCTGACAAGTCCACTAAGCCTTTGAGAACCATGTGTAACTTAAGCCTTTGGCTGGCTGACGGCAGGGAAAAAACAACTGAACACACTAGGTTGGGAGTATAATCTGGGCAGCTCTGTTTTTTTCTTTAAACTCCCCAGAGGACTGATGCTTAGCCAAGGTTGAAAAACCCCACTCTTGGATAGAGAGATGTTTAGGGGAAAAAAATGAATGTTAGGACTTTTTTTTTTTTTTTTTTAATAAATTACTCTTTTTCGTTCTTTCACTGCCCCTCCCTGCCCCAACACTCCCTTCACACATGAGTATGAGACCCTGTCGTGTACGTCGTGTAGAGAATACATGCGTCGCCGTGTTGCGCTGACTGGGTCACTAATGGAAACCCGGTTTCTGGCAAGAAGTTTGTGTCCCAGCTGTAAGTGTTCACTGGAGCAGAGAAGGCTCCTTAATTGGGCTTCCTTTTCTACAGTGCCAGGGATAGGAAGAAAGCTCCTACCTGTTACCTTCCTGGTGCTGGGCCCCAGCCCCACCGTGTAGGAGGTCCTCCAGCAGAGAAGCCGCAGTGAGTGAGGGAACAAGTGCATTTTCCTCCAGAGCCCGGCTCGGCTCGTGCTGACTGCATCAGAAGGACCTGGGTGGCCGCAGCGGGGAGCTAGCAATAAGGGATGAAGAAAGGCCACCTGCTGGGGAGCCGCTCATCAGGGACAGATGCCCAAACTGTGCACTGCTCCCCTTCTGGGCTCCTCCTCGCCACACTCCCTGCAGCCTTGCCTGCCAGCTGGGCCTGGACATCACCCCGCTCCTGCAGGAGCCCTGCGCATTTCAGGACCTCCTGCTCCCTCCAGCAGGGTGTTAAGAAGCAAAGAATGAAATCGTTTCCCAAAGCAGGATGGAGTGGGCAGGTCTTCCTTCTATCTTCTAGGCAAGTCCTTCCTGTTCCTTCCCTTGCTGTGCCTAGACCAGGGCCTTGCTTGTTTTGGAATTCAAGGGCACTTATTTATTGAACAAATGCTGATACCATGTTCATGTCGCACACATTGCAAGCTCTGTACAAGTAGTAGGTTATCCAGTCTTCGTACTGCATCACCCCACTGTACAGATGACAAAACTGAGGTCACCCAGCTGGCCCTGGAACCCAGACCACTCTGACCACATGCAGTGCTATCTCCTGCCTTCCCTGAGCTTCTGTCTCTTGTCTCTGACCACTCGGGGCCCTGGCCCTGGGAGGGAGCACTGTTGCCCCAGAGGATCCTCTGTGAGGTCTGGCGTCCTCCCACCCACCTCCTCTCACTGCAGTGCCCAAGGGCCCCCGGGGCTGTCTGCTGGCCCCTTGCGGGGTGCTGGAGGCCTGGGGAAAGGATGGGCACAGCCACCTGGAGGCTCACACTCCTATAAGAGCTAGGCTTTGAGTCTCCGCCAGGTGCTGTCCCACCTGCCCCAGGTAGGAGGACACCTGGTGGGAAGCAACAGCAGGGAAGGCTTTGGATTAGGTCTGGGGGACTGACCTACATGGTAAAGGACTGGGGTTCCTGTTGATCTTACTGTATTTTTTACTTAAATTTAAAAGGCATATCAGGATTTAGTGGCATGTAGGACATTGATTTCTTTAAATAATACTATAAAACCTAAGAAAAAAAATTCTTTGAAACTCACAAGTGTAAAAACAAAATTTTCTAGTGAAAAGGGCATCCAGGGTACCGTGACAAGTAAAACACGCACGCAGACCAGCAGATGGATGAAGGTTCCAAGTCATTGATGCCATGTGGTCGCGGCTCTGGCACCGCAGTCTGGGGTAGACCAGCGCTTCCCAAATATAGCATCTTAGCTGTGATCATTGTCATCATTATTTTGTATTTATATTATTTTCTAAGGTACTTGGCACATGTCTGACCTCCAACAAGTGCTCGTAAATGTGAGCTGCTTTACAGCGATGAGCCAGGGTGTAATGGGGGGCAGGTCCAAGAAATTAGTGCTGAGGGATGCAGCCCACCTTTACCTCTCGCCTTGAAAGGCTCCAGAAGAAGCATTGGCTCTTTCTTGCCGGCCACCCTGCCACATGCTACAGGAGGCAGGAAACTCCTCACCCCCACATGCTCTGTGTAGTTTGCCAGGAGGCAGTGAGCTGCAGGGCAACTCCCAGGGCCCAGGCCAAGGAGAACATTCAAGCTGGAGTGGACATGGAGGCAGCGGGCAGGGCATCTGGACCAGAAAGAGGCCCAGGGAGCTTGAATCTTACGACCCGTCCCAAGGGCTGGAGCTAAGGCCCCAGGCCCTTCATGCATATATAACCAAGCTCCTGGAATGAAGCCAGGAACTGTCCTGCTCGAACAACAGTATTCGGAAGTGTTGTCCGCCGCAGGGGCTCACCTCCAAAGCTGGCTGACACCTCGGACGGCGGGCAGAAATGAGCCACGTGTAAGACAGAGGAGCCGTGAATCCTGCACCACCCATGACGGTGTGCCCCAGATCCCAGCCGCTCAGTAAGGCTGAGAAACGGACGTCAGAACCCGCGAAGCTCATTGGACCCTCAGGCTCAAAAACAAAAGCTCCCGTGGAGAGTCGCTGGACCAGGCACTTGGGACTCACATGGAAGACAATGCTTGCCGAGGATGAACTCACAGAGCCCCTGGGACTCCGTTCTGATGGCCTGAAGCTATTGGTTGAGAAATTTGCCTCCCAGGAACTCTAGGAAATGGAGCAATCTGAAGAAGAAGTTGATTTGAATAATTTATTAAGGTAGTTACTACCACCTTGTGCCAAATGCTGTCCCAGTTACTAAATATTCCAGACACGGCACATGCATGGGAGCAAAGATCCCTCCTCCTTTGAAGCCTGCATTATGGTGGGCACGGGGATCGGGAGGAAGTCCAGAGACCTTAAACCCATACTGGAGCGAATAATATTCTGGGGACATGACATAAAGCAGTGGTCGGGAAAGGCGTCTCTCAGGGAGTGACATTCAGGCTGACACCTAAATACGGGATCAGAAAGAGGAAGTCACACAACGTTCTGGGTGGAAAGATAGGCAAATGGGAAGAGCAGGATCAAAGCTGGCTTCCACATGACTTCCGGACAAGAACGACCACAAGCGGGGCTGAGTGTGAAGGACAAGGTCAGACACACAGGCGGGTCAGACCCTGTGCAGCCTTCAGCACGATGGGTCCTTTTTTTGTTTTTTTCTTAAGATTTTATTTATTTGTCAGAGAGAGAGTACAAGCAGGGGGAGCAGAAGGCAGAGGGAGAAGCAAGCTCCCCACTGAGCAGGGACCCTGACATGCGACTCAATCCCAGGACTCTGTGATCATGACCTAAGCCAAAGGCAGACACTTAACCGACTGAGCCACCCAGGTGTCCTATGATGGGTTTGTTCTAAAAGCCACGCAGACACATGGAGGTTTAAGCAGGGAAGGAATGTGCTCTGACAAGGTCTGGCTGTCTGCCTCTGGGGCTGGTGGGAGGGTGGCTGAGAGTGGGACCAAGGGAGACAGTGTGGTGTTCCCCCTGCCCCCACCCTGCAGTGGATGGGGTGATCACCTGGAGAGGCCTGAGGCCCAGGTGTGTTCAAGAGCCGCCCCAGTGAGAGGTGCTAGGGGGTCTGCTTTGGCCTATGAGGGCAGGAGAGCCATGGCCCCGGGCTGTTTCCTGGGGTGGGGGGACACAGGGCTCTCTGTGGGACAGAAGCCCCACCAGAAACTGGAGTCTCAAGTCCTGTCCTGAGGGGAGAGTCAGAGAGTAAATGAGGTGAGAGCTGGCGAGAGGAAAGGTGTGATCTTGAGTCCTAAGGGCATTGGAGGAAGCCCTGCCGGGGGCTGGGAGCCCTGAGTGAAACCCAGCCCATTTGGAAGTGTGGATTTAATACTCCCCAGGGCGGTGGCTGGCGGAGGCCAGGCCGGTGGGTCAGGAGATGCCATGCCGGCCACCAAGAAGACAGTTCCCAAGAGCTGGGGGCACACCGCGTCCCAGGAGCCCCACAGGGAAGCACCAGCTGATCAGGAGGCAGAAGGAGAGGAGGGAGAGGAACAAGGGCAGGAGCCTTCCCGGCTGTTCTGGTCGGAAGAAAGGGGTAGGACAGGGTAAGCAGGCTCTGGCTTGGCTAGTGTGATTTCTGCAGGCTCTGTGACTCAGGGCTTGTCCCTGGTTGTCTGGCACCTGGCTCTGGGGTGGCTAGAGCGGGTGGGCAGTGGCTGGAGTGTGAGAGCCCACAGAGAAGGCGGTGGGGTTGGGGCTCTGATCGGTTGGTTTGTACTTGAAAGGTGCACTCACAGGTGAATTGTTGGCTGTCGCTAAGAATTGGCTAATCTGGGGTGAGGGGCCGTCTTCCCTCCC